CACACACACACACACACACACACACACACACACACACATGCACACACACGCACACAGTGGCCCAGCCACTATTGTACATGAATATACACGACTACACACACACACACACACTCTCTTTTCCACATACACGCTCACTTATGTCCTAAACAGGTGCGACGTGATGCAATAAGCTTCCAGCAACACATAATTTTTGTTCATGTGAATCCAGAAAAGAAGAAGCTCAAATATGAGTAATTTTGACATCATTCCCAGATTCTACAGGTGTTATTTCATAGTTTTCATGACTTTACTATTATTCTGACATGTGCAAAATGTTCCGTTGCCTTACGCTTCATTGCATCGCAGCTGCTAAAGACGGCGTGTCGCACACAAACACAGGACGAACGCAGCAGGTCTCCGGCCTGGTTGAGTCCAGCACATCCAGGCTTGACCTTTGACCCCTGCACACCTCTAGAGTCCCTTAAGAGTCTCCTGAGACACATTACAGCGCTTCTCCTCCATGTTAAGGAATATTTAAGTCAGGAAGGCACCTCATCAAGAGACAAACCAGTGTCTGAAGATTTCAGAGGAGAAGATCCTCCGCGTTCACAGATCCAACCCCGTTCTGCTGGTGTCAGGTCGTAACGGCCTGATTCGTGTCAGACCTCAGCAAAATATACATTTGTTAGTCCATCTATGTGCAGCAGGTGAAGTAAATGCCAGCGTTGTGCCAGCGATGCATCAGTGTTCGGCCCATTGCTGCCATTAAATTCATGCTTAAAGGCACAGTTCACCATTATTTACTTACCCTCATGTCGTTCCAAAACTGAACAATTTATGAACAATTTCAGGCAAGCCACCACAGGTAAATAAGGAAAATGTTAACTAATAGATATCATCATACTTTCCTTGATTGAGTAATCATAGTACATTAAGACAATTTAAGTTTTCTGAAATGTTGTTTAAATATGCAAAAGATGCGTTGTTAAATACAATGCAGAAAATTAATTTCTTAGTAGTTTTGTCTTGTTTTCAAGTACAAGTATCTAAACATCCTTAAATCAAGATAAATTTAACTGAGAAACAAGATATTAATACTGACTTTATGCAAAATGTATCAAAATTAAGTTTTATTTTTAAAATGATAAAAAAATATCCACCAGTGGGGACAGAAAAATAATCTTTTCCCTTTAAATTAAGACTATTTTTCTTACACCGCTGGCAGATAGTTTTGTTCATTTTAAGGAAAAACTAACTAAATTTGGATAAATTTTTCTGAAAACAAGACTTAAGTAATTTTGCTTCTCAAGTAAATATATTTGCTTCAAAAATGTTTAGACATTTGTACATGAAAACAAGATGAAAATGCTCAGAAAATGATTATTTTTTTGGAGTACAAATTTAAAATTGTAATTAAAATTAAATATTAGATACACACTAATTTACATACATTTCCAGAACAGAAATATGAACATTGGTTTAAAATTCCTGCATATTTTACAGAGGGGGTTTTGGATTTCTCTTTTATTTTATTTTTAGAAAATACTGTTAGAATTATGTTTTTGGATTAAAATGTTAAATATAGGTGAATCAGGTGAATCATACATGAAAAAATCCCTCTGTAAAATCCTTCAGAATATGTAAATGTGTACTGATAAGAGAAAATGTGTATTGATATGAATTGTAATTGAAAACTACAGATGCAAACAGATAAAGCGTAATAAAATAAACTCTTAAATGTGTATTTTAGATTATTTCTTTCCACTGGGAAAAAAAAAATAAAAATGACGACTTGTTATGGAAGCAAAATAGCCCCAAAAAACAATGGTTTTTCTTGTAGTGTCTTGCCTTGAAATAACATTTTAATACATTTCTTCCACGGAAGAAAAGTTCATACAAATTTGGAACGACAGTGAGTAAATGATCATTGTAGTTTTAATTTGAGGTGAACTGTCCCTTTAAAGACCCTGGGCAGTAATGGTGCATGTCGAAGGCAGTGAGTGAGGCGACGGCCTGATCGACGCAGGATTTCCGATGAAGGCACGGGAAGTCGTATCTCAGTCTGTGTGTTCAGTTCAGGAGGAAAAACAGGCACGGGTCGCCCTCCGATCCCCTGCGGCAGTGTTGAAGACCTAAAGCTGGACACCGAGCCCAAACCCCTCGATACCGTGATGAGGGATGAAATAATAATAAAAGCCTCCCCGGTCGGTCAAATGGACTCCAAACAAGTGGAAATACGTGGTCAAACGGGCACGACCGAACCCCTGTTTATTGTTCAGAGGAAGGACCGATCCTTCTGTATTGATTTCCTCTCGCTCCTCGTTCAGCGTGAGTCATGTGTTCACAGTTCAGTGACGTGGAGCGGGTAACTCGGGGGCAGGTGGGTCGGTTGAGGGGTTTTTAACCGGTGCAGGTGGCATCGGTGGCACAGCAGGTGCCCATCCAGCGGGTAACAGCGATGCCCCTCTTCATCATTCAACTGCAGACTGCAATCCTGCAAAGCATGTGTTATTGTCTTAGTGTGTTTGATAGAAATGAAGTCAGGCCTTTTTCAATGAATCATCACCCTTGTGGCTGGATCTACACTGTAAATAACTTAATGCACAAAGCTTGCTTTACATCTGCAAGTCATCTGGAAAAATCCACAGCCAGAGGAAGAAATCCAGAACTGCAGTTTGGTCGGTAAATAAATCACATGGCAATTTTGTTTTGTTCAAATTATAAATTGGAAGGCATATTTTCTTGTAATAAATAAATATTAAATGTTTTTTCATAAATAAAACTAATCAATTAATTATTCATATGTAACTATAAATTTTATATAAATTTTTATAAAAATAAAAAAATAAAAATGAAATTAAGTAATAATTTATTTACCCTGCTGTTGTTCCAATGCAGTATACCCTTATTTTTTCAGAAAGAGAAGGATCTTTTTTTACCTTTTTCCAATTAATCCATACAGTATAATGACAATGGATAGCAACCATGTTTTTTAAAAAAGACACAAAAGAATAGCGGAAACAGCCTGGATGATACGACTTACCCAGAGCCTGCAGGATCTACAACACACACACACACCCACACACACACACAGGTGGCCACACTAATGAGGCACAATAACATCATTTCTGTATCTAATAATACACTCACTCATATTACAGAGATGATGCAGCTTTGATAAGCCATTTTTGGTTGCATATTTATTTAAAATGGTAAAACTAAATTCACAAGAGATCCTTCCTCCTCTGAAAAATGAGAGCAATAGTTATAGTGCAATACATCAAATCTCTCGTACCATCTCCATGATGAGGTGACCGCACACAAAGCATTTTTCTGCCGTCTGCTGGAACCCGGAGTACTACAGAAGAAAAACAATTACCACAACTCAAATGCAAGATCATATTTATTAACTTTGCATGATTTTTTTGTTTCTTCTGCTCACCAAAACTTCATTTATTTGATCAAAAATACAGAAAAAAACAGTAATGTTTTGAAATGTTTAAATTTAAAATAGCTGTTTTCTATGTGAACATATGTTATGTAATTTATTTCTGTGATCAAAGCTGTATTTTCAGCATCATTACTCCAGTCTTCAGTGTCACATGATCTTCAGAAATCATTATAATATGCTGATTTGCTGCTCAAGAAACATTTCTGATTATTATCAATGTTGAAAACAGTCGTGCTGAAGAATACTGTATTTTTGTGGAAACTGTGATACATTTTGTTTTTCAGGATTCTTTGATGAATTAGAAATCTTTAACATTAGAAATGTCTTTACTGTCCGTTTAATGTGTCTTTGATGGACTAAAGTATTAATTTATTTCAAATGCAATTTACTGAGGAATCACAGATACATTTTTCTAGTGCACAATCATGGTTTAAGCGGTCACACTCCAAGTAAAAGTCCAAAAATGTATTAAATACTAAATAAAAAATAAAACATTCAATAATATAGATGAATTAACTAAATAAATATATAATATATTATAATATAAATTATAGCAAGTCACACTGCTTCACGTTTCATGTCAACTACCCAAAATGCAAGCACTATATACACAAAATAATATATTACATATTTTTATAAAAATATTAAAAACATAAAAATACTAAAATATCTAAAAATATATATTAAATTACTTTTTTTTTTTTATTATATTATATATAAGTATTGATAAATTAAGAAATATTATAGTATATAAAATAATATGATATAATATAATATGATGCCACACTACTTGACAATTCCTGTGTGCAGCCCATCTGCAAAAATGATGTAATTCCAAAAACTTGCACCAGTAATGAAGCAGTATCACTATTGAATGCGTCTCAAGGGGGCGCTGGCACGCTCTCTCTGTGCCGAGCTTCGGAAACGTGCTACGGGGATGTTTAGCTCTGTGCATCTGATTAAACACTTAAGACACCAGCCGAAAATCCCACATGATTATCAGCATGATTTCTGAGAAGATCCACAACTTGATGGATTAAGGCAGCGGCCGCTATACGAATCATTCTGGAAGGTTCTTATCGTTCAGTGTGAGGTGTTGGACCTCCAAAAGACTTTCCTGAGACTTCAGAGGTTGTTAATGGTGGACAGGTTGCAGGCGTCTTAAGTACAGAAACGACCCTGAGGGGAGCCATCTGTCCCGGAAAAGGGCTTTGACCTGGTTACCAGGGTGACAAGGGTTTGGAGCACAGCCATTAGAGTAAGGATGTTCTCAAACATGCACTCTATGGAAATGAGAGGCCGAGGCCACACAGGATCCTCGGATTATTACATTTTTGAGGACTAATATTACTAAGGTTGTACATTTGTTGAGGACTAATATTACTAAGGTTGTAAGGTATTTAGAAAACTACATACATATAATAAAAATATTACTAATATTACATTTTACATTAAAAATTAACATTTTAAAATAATACTGCAGCCCAAAATCACTTTCTTTAGCAAAACAAAATTGAGCTTTCCTCTTTAATAAGAGGTTTTCTCTTTGAGAAGTGTGTTCAAGTCAACATTTTAACTCACAGTCTCAAAGTTTAGCTGAATGACCCGCTCTGGAATGTCATCAGTCAATGATTCACAATATTAATGCACATTCATACCTGTGCCATGGCCTAATACACACAAAAAACATCTTACATAACGCCAGTGCATTATCCTGGAGTGTAAACATGACCCCTTTTATTAGGTGCCATTTACCAGACGCGAGTGAATCACAGTGAACCAGTGTTCGTGTGGAGTTAAAACTGGTTAAGTGACTTCACAATGAGATTGAACATGCAACCTTTAGTCAGTATTTCAGAGCAATAGCCATTGAATTACCTCACAGTGATAGCATTCCACATGGTAATTTTTATCCATGGACACCACCCGTATGGTCTCCTCTGAACCCTACAAACACACACACACACCTAATTAACCTCTGTCAGGATAGTCCTGAAACGTGACATCAATTCAACTCATACAACATCAGTCTAATGCATTTAAAAGCTGGTACCTGCGCTGGGAGGATGGGCTGGTTACACGAGGCACATTTAGGAGCAAAAACCCTATAGAAAAACATTGAAATATACATCAACATCTCGGTTACGCTGGACAGCCAAAACAGCACTAAACAGGCTATGCATGAAAAATATGTAACAAAATAGCATAAATGCGTGGTTGTCACTCACGTGTGGTAGTCTTTCACACAGTAGATGTTGTTCTCCACATCCACGGTGAAAGGAACACCATCCAGACCCTCCTTACAAACCACACAGCGGAAACAGCCTGGATGATACGACTTACCCAGAGCCTGCAGGATCTACAACACACACACACACCCACACACACACACAGGTGGAGGCCACACAGGATCCTCGGATTCTATTGTAGGAACCAAAGGCTACATTTTAACGACGTGGAACTTTCCGTCCGGCTGTGGAACGCCGTTCCATTCCGTACTGATGACATCACCGCTCGCCTGAACACTCTTTTCATTGGTGCGCTGGTGATCGTGTGAGCGTGTGCTCGTTGTGGAGCGAGGGCCAGCAGGTGGGGTTGGGACGGACTGATCAATACCAGGAAACCCCCACCCATCCCATCAGACAGGCCATCTGCCGGACCCCCGGCGGCATGTTCCTCAGTCGCTCACGTCAACACAAGTACTGTTTGGGGTCATTAAGTGGCTGACCAAGGTGTTTTTTTTTTTGTTTTGTTTTTTAATCGCATGATACCAATGCAGATATCTATGCTAAGTGGCCAATAGCTGAAATAAACACAGCAAAAAATAAATAAATAAATAAATAAAATATTTATATTAAAAATATTTGGAAAAGTAAAATACTTAAAAATAACAGTAAATAATTTTTTTTTTAATTATACTGTAACAAAGACTACTAATAAAATAATACATATAAATAATATAATAATTAATGGTAAATAAAAATATATTAAAATTATATATATATATGTATTTAAATATTAATTTGGAAAAATGTACAAAAAATATTAAATGGGTTAAATGAAAAAGAATATAATTAATTTATATACAAATGTACACTAACACTACAAAATAACAAAATTATACAAAAAGTAAAATATCTAATAATATTAAAAATTAAATGTTAAATAATAGTATATATAAAAATCATATATTAAACAAACTTATAAACAAACAAACTCTCAAAATGCCAAATGATGACCTGTTAATTGCCCTGGCTAATATTTGATTATAAGTAAGTACGTAAGTAAGTATGTATGTATGTATGTATGCTGAAAATGACCAGTTATTTATCCTGGCCAATATATCATCTGTCCCTACTATCAAAACTGTCACATGAAAGTCTAGTGGCAATAATATCAAAATGACAACATTATTTGACAGAAGCAGATTTCAGGAAGTTGATTCCTTCATGATGGATCTTCCCATTGCTCCTGCTGTGTGTGTGTGTGTGTGTTTTTGGCTTTAGAATAAGATCACACTGGAGTGAATTGGAGAGGTGGGCGGAGCTACAGCATCTGTTCTCCCAAGAGACATCCATCCACTAATGAGCACTAATCAATACAGCCCCAGTCTCCACCTCCCTCTTAGGAAACGTTCAATTAAATGAAGCATTACAGCTACTTTGTTGAGATCCTACAGCTGGTGTAACTCTGACCTACAGCAGGACTTCAAACATCAAACGAGGACAAGATCTACAGAACGAGTATCTATAGAACAATCCGTGACACATCGGTTTCATTAAAAGGGTTTTAATGGACTAATGCTTCACATTGTGTTGGAATTACTGTAATTATGAGATTCTGAGCTGTTCACATGCTCAGGCTCAAAAATTAATAGTTTCTATAGCTACACTTATAATGTCAAAAATTAGGCAAAAATGTGGCTTCGTTGTCAATGACGGTAAAAAAAATATGTAGTCACTCTATTAAATGATCTCTGCATGCTCTTGCAAGATATTTAAGAAAAAAGCACATCAAAAACAACATTACAGCAGGACTTCAAACATCAAACGAGGACAAGATCTACAGTATCTATAGAGTATCTATAGAACAATCCGTGACACATCGGTTTCATTAAAAGGGTTTTAATGGACTAATGCTTCACATTGTGTTGGAATTACTGTAATTATGAGATTCTGAGCTGTTCACATGCTCAGGCTCAAAAATTAATAGTTTCTATAGCTACACTTATAATGTCAAAAATTAGGCAAAAATGTGGCTTCGTTGTCAATGACGGTAAAAAAAATATGTAGTCACTCTATTAAATGATCTCTGCATGCTCTTGCAAGATATTTAAGAAAAAAGCACATCAAAAACAACATTTTACAGTGACACATCAAGCATTGCTGTTCAAATGTTTGGGATCAGTAAGATTTATTTATAGAAATTAATACTTTTATTCATCAAGGGCATATTAAACTCATCAAAAGTGACAGCAAACACATTTATAATGTTACAAAAGATTTCCATTTCAAATAAATGCTGTTCTTTTGCACTTTCTATTCATCAAAGAATCCTGAAAAATTAAATGTATCACAGTTTCCACAAAAATATTGGGCAGCACAACTGTTTTCAACATTGATAATAATCAGAAATGTTTCTTGAGCAGCAAATCAGCATATTAGAATGATTTCTGAAGATCATGTGACACTGATCACAGCAATAAATCAAATTTTTCAATATATTCACATAGAGAACAGCTATTTTAAATTGCAATAATATTTCACATTTTTACTCCATTTTTAGTCAACTAAATGCAGCCTTGGCGAGCAGAAGATAACAAAAATCTTAGTTTGACAAAAGTAAAATAGTCAGAAACTCAATTACTGTAAATCTGACATCATGTAAATGCATCACAAGTTTGATTTTAACTGTAATACTCACCAGGAAGTCTTCCTCACAGTAAACCTTTCCATTGATATTATAGAAAGCCTTTCCTCGTAGCCTCCGTCCTGAGGGAGAAAAAAATCTAATTATTCCACCATGTCATAAGTTTCATTTTATATGCAGTCAAAAACACTGCAGAAGAAACTCCATGCATCTTAATGCTGTGTGTTTACCAACAGCCTCGACAACAAACAAGCAATTATTTTTAACTGGCAACATCAAATGACTGAAAGGATGAAATATGTTTCATCTCTGATGCGTGTTACGTGAACAGCTGTTCGTTCCCTCAGATATCTGACCGACGGATATGAAATGTACACAAAAATGCATCGAAAGCTCAAACCTGACTGGTTCTGTTTACAGTGTTTCCTAGAATCAGGGTGCACAGGTTTACACCAGCCTAAAAACAAATGCAAACTGTGACCTATAATTTCCCCAATGGGTAAAATGTGGACAGAATTGGGATCAAGTCATAAAAGCGGAATTTACTGTATAACGTGGAATGTCACAGAATAAGTCAAATTTTGAATTAATAAGTCTTACTTTAAATCAAATCACAATATGGACTAGTGTCTGTGAATATTAAGCCACAAAATGACAATTTAAATATGATCCTGCATGTTCTGTGTGTCTCTTTTAGAAAGAATGGTGCAGATTCACACAGATGCACAAGAAAGCGTGCGTGATGCTCACTGTGTTTTCAGTGCCTGCCGTCTCACTATATGAGCATATATAACTATCATCATATCATATAAACACAGAAACTTACAGGTCTTCACAACAACTTGAAGAAATAGTGACAGAAATATATTATTACTGTCTGGAATGTACACCCTAATGTAATAATAATAATAATAAATACTACACTAAACACTAAAATAAAAACTAATACTAAATATTAATACAAATAAAAATATTATTAGGGAATAATGATATTTTTTGTCCTTGTTTTAATTTTAACAGCAAACTTCTGTTATGTGGCAATTTTGTTTGGCAAACAATGAAAGTGTTTGTTTCATTTTCATTTGATTAAAAGATATATTAAAGTTTATGCCTTCATAACAGAAACTAAAATACACAGACATAACAGAAAAAAAACATTTAATAGGGCCCTATATAATTGCAAAAATAATGTTGTTTTTATAATTTAAATTATTTAGATATACTTTTTGATTGATTTTTAAAATGTAATTAAACCATTAAAATGGAATCCAAAAAAATTAAAACGGTAAACACAAAATGTAGTAAACATAAAACAGAATTTGAGAAAAAAAGAATATATTTAATTTCAGGGCCCTATAAAATTTTTTTCATTTTGTTAAACTTTTAATAAATTGTTATTAAATTGTTTAAGTTTCATGATTTCAATTAATTAGACATGCTTTTTGATTACAAAAATGTAACCATTAAAACAGAGTCCAGAAATATAAACGGGGAAAAAATATGGAATCCAAAAAATAATAAAAAATAAAAATAAAACCGATTTCTTAGGGCCGTAGGTTGGTTGTTTACCATGTGGCTCAGTTGGTGTGTTTCTGTCTAAATGGGCGTATCTTGGCCAGAATCAGCGAAGGGCCTGACTGCACGAGACTAGGACCTCTGCATCGCATTCAAACACACACAAAAACCACCAAACGCTCATCTTTCTCTCTCACACACAGAGTTCATAAATCAGTCCGACCCTTTTCCCCATCCCTTAATTTACAGCGCTCAAGGCAGACATCTCGTTTCTTTTCACGGTCTCAAAATTTATGCACTTGTCACATTCAAACAGCCAGCGGCCCGACAGAGAAACGAACACTCGACTTAATTCAGAGTGATAAAGCACAATTCACACGCAGATGTGGGCAAAGACTTTCAATTAGTGATGCAGAAGCAGGGTGTTCACCTTCTGGACCATAAAACAGGTGAAAAAATCCCATCGAGGAGGAACAAGAGCCATATAGAGACCTGAAGAACTTTTTGTTTTTAATCCCTAGCAACACACCTGCATAGCAATGTGCAGTTTTGCTCCATCAAGAACCACTTAGATGTGTTTAGAAAATTGTAATAAAAAGGTGCAAATAATAACGATTTGATTTGAAAACAACTGAGATGGCAATGTAAGAGGAGGATGTTTGTAGACGTGTGTACACACAACAAACGACGCTGAGATCACTGAGATTTCTGGAGCTGACAAATGTCTGGGGAGGGCCAGATTCCCAACACAAAAACACAGAGAGAGAGACAGAGAGAGGTCTGAGTAAACGGGGACATTCTTTGAGCCTGAGGTCACCGGCTGGTCCCAATGCCCCCCTCCACCACCGAAAACAGACAAGAGAGAGAGAGAGAGAGAGACAGGAGAAGAGAAAGAGAGAAAGAGGGGGAGGGATGGCGAGATTCCTCCAGCCTTTGTCAAAGACTGCGGCCACAGTCAACTACATCTACACTGAAAAAACTGGTTATATGCAGCAAACTTTAAGTTAATTTGTGGCAAATGTGTAGCTCTTCACTGGTATGATGAACTTGCAGCAAATCATTGGCACAGTTAGTGCTGTTAAACTTTTCACTGAACTGAAATGTTCAATTATTTCGATACACTGCAAAAAATTTCAGTATTTTTGTGCACAAATATCTAAACATTCTTGAATCAAGAGTCATTTACAGTAACATTACATTAAAAATGTATCAAAATTAAGTTTTAAAATGAGAAAAAATATCTGCAAATGGGGCAAGAACAATAATTTTGCTTTCTCTTTGAATTAAGGTTAAGATACTTTTCCTTGTGTTAAGCAAAAAGTGACAACATTTTTATTGATTTTTATGAATGTTAAGATATTTATTTGTGCTTTAAAACACGATAAAAATACTGAGTAATCTTTTTTGCAGTGTAGTATAATTTTGCTTTCTCTTTGAATTAAGGTAAAGATACTTTTCCTTGTGTTAAGCAAAAAGTGACAACATTTTTATCGATTTTTCATAAAATAACACTTAATATCTTAAGTCATTTTGCTAATCAAGTAAATGTATCTTGATTCAAGAATGTTAAGATATTTATTTGTGCTTTAAAACACGATAAAAATACTGAGTAATCTTTTTTGCAGTGTAGTGAATGGAAATACATTAACAAAACAGCAAAAACTTTTTCAACAAAGGCCATTTTCACAGACTGTGATGATGTTTCTATAATTATTAACATCGTAACCTATTTTTTAAACATTTTCTTTTTAAAAAATGTAAAGTAAAATATATTTTATATTATATTTTTTAAATGTGTTTTCTATTTTCATTAATAAAACATGTATAACGCTATTTTGTGTTTTATTTTCTTGCTTTCAATTACAGAAAACTGGTTAAATCTAATACAATGGTTGAGGGAGTGACAGCTAATCTTTCTCTCTTTTAACCAATGTAATCAATCTCTTGATATTTTGTTCCTCTTTTGGAAAGACAGAAACCAATCATGGATTTTTCCTTTTGCTATTAAGGCAAACGGAAATGCAAAAATGACATTTGTTGCATTTTCCGTTCACAACCATGGAAGTTTACCAAACTATGACGGCTTCTGTTTCTGAGAAGCCCGGAAATGTGAAAAGGCTCCATTAACCACAATTATTTTTGTCATTTTTCACTCACATGCATCTCTTCTACTCCACTCTTCTCAGAAGAGTGTGTGGGCAGTTTTATTTCCATGGTCTGCGGTGTTAAATGCATCTTTGATTTAATTTTTACACTTGTTTCCCATGACTGTCACACTGGCTGCAGATCTTCAGTCCTCTCATGAACTCAGTCAGGGTCGTTGCCATATGTGACGCAAGTAAAAACAAGGCTGTGCAGTATAGATGAGGTCAATTCTACTGTTTTAAGGTCTCATGTCACACTGAGTGCATATTTCTGGAATTCTCCGTCTAAAGGCATTTTATTTAAAGTTCCCCTATTATGCCATTTTTAAGGTTGCTAATATTGTTTTATGAGTCTCCTAAAACAGGTTTAAATGCATGCAAGGTCAGAAAACACGTTAGTTTTCTTAAAAAATAGATTTAATTTTAACTCATTTCTAAATGATTCGTAAACGACTCGTGCGAAGCAGTTCAAAGAATCAGTCTCTCTAAACCCCTCCTTTCCGTGAGCCCTCACTGCTGATTGGTCAGATGGCGCAGTCCTTTGTGATTGGTCCAGAGCCGTAGAGATTGGCTCTGGATTGGTCTACCGCGTACAGCGTGTGTCGGAAACGAAACGGCCATTGCCATGACAGCCCTGGAGACTTGTCAATACATAGAAAAGATGGTATCGATTGTACCTTTCCAATTCAAGCCGGAGTCTGATGATGAAACGGTTGAACTGGCTGATCGACAAGAGATTGATTCGTAAGCACGACTGGAGCAGGACGTTTCTCAGTGGTAAGTGTCAAGTGTTAACAAGTTAACTAATATAAGCTAATAATTATCAGAATTCTCCGCCCGAGTCCGACCCGAGCCGAACCTAACAGTCTACTCTGAGAGTTAGTAGACAAATTAGTTGCAAATTAGTGATAATTAGTTGACATGTAGTTGCAAAGTTACTTATAGTTAGTAGAATGTCTAAAGTGGACTATCAAAATAAAGTGTAACTAAACACTGTATCGCTGCTGTTCCATAAGCACCACCTGCTGTCAGAGAGCGAATCTACATCTCATTATTATTTATTTTTGTTTTGTGCAGATGTTTTATGTAGCATAATTTCGCTAAGCAAAAGTCAGACCATTCTGTTTTTGCTTCAGACTTTGAAATTATGCAATCTCATTTTAAATCAGAAACTGCTCATGTATACAGCATCTTTATTTGTATCATGATTAAAATACAGTGGTTGCCTCTAATTTTAAATGGCTACAGAGAGTTTGGCCTGTAATAGAGCCAAGTTTCAGGTAAAAAATAATTTCTAGCCCTGCAAACAGATTAAAAAAAATGACATAAACAGATGGATAGAATGAATTAATGACTGAATAAACAATAGACCTAGACCTAATTATAGACCTAATGATCCGATCTGAAAAACAAATAAATATTTTGTGCATTGAGAACAAAGCCTATGTGTCTTTCTTGCTCCTTTCCTGAAGCTGTGAAAACACACACGCACACACACACACACACACACACACACACACGCACACGCACACACACACTCCTGTCCACAGCAAGAGAACAAGCAGGTCTTTATCATCTGCAGGTGGCTTCGCCCCAGTGCATGATGGGATGCTGGAGGTGATGAGTCACTCAAAGGGTGTATGTACATGTTCGGGAATTCACATCCAGACTGTAGTCAGTGTGTGTGTGTGTTACTGTAAAGAGGGGAATTTTAGTCTGCGGTTCTTTTCTCCCCATGTTAATGTATATTTTATGTGGTAACACAAACAACTCTACTGAGTCTGACTGCAAGCCAAAGTGAAATGAAAATAGTGACAAATAAACTGTCGAGTAACTCTGTGAGTCGGTTCAAATGAATCACTGGCTAGAAATAAATATTTCCAACAGCTCTCTGTGACTGAATGCTATGAGTCCTCCTGAAGACTAAAGTCTTGAGCAAATAAGTATGAGAGAAAGAGAAGAAATGAGAGTGAATGAAACATCATAATGACTCTCTGTGTTGGTGTATGTGAGTTTGTGTGGGCAGAGGGCTGCGGGACGCTCGGGGCACACATACACTTACCTTTATAATTGTAAAGGTGAACAAATGATAGAATGAATAGATGGATGGATGGATGGATGATAGATAGATAGATAGATAGATAGATAGATATTTGAAAGTGGTTTGCCCCAATGCATGATGGGATATTTTAGTGGTTATAGTGGTGAGGTTTGAGTAGTTGGTGGTGTGTAATGAAATCCTGCATCATCTACTGTTATCATGAAACTCAGCACTTTTGTTTCTTCTCAGCTGAGCACAAAAAACAATTACAGCCGTGATTACCTGCACAGATTCAGCACAGCAGCACCACTGCCAGCGTGGTATTGCTTTCATACGCCACCTTTATAAATAAGAACTTGATACAGAGTACCCGACATTACGCATATGCCACATGTATGCCACACATGGTTAAATAGATCAATCATTATTTAGTATTTAAATAAATGCAAGAAAGAACAGCAATTGCAACTCAGCATGCAAAAAATCACTACATCACTGTCAATTACAGTGCAGTGGGGGATTTTATCAAACACTTTATACTTTAAGAAGTTTAAGATTAAATTACAAAAAATAAATAATAATAATAATTAAAAAAAAAACAGTCATCATACCTAAGGCTGAAATTATTCACAAAACTGTGCAGAGTAAAAAAACATCAGGAATCTGAATCAGTGCTGCAGGGACAATAATAAAATACTACAAAAGCATAGAATATGGCTCCTTTCAACTCGTTTTGTGGCCTAATTAGGCCAGAATAGACACTTACTAAGAGCACTTATTGTGTAGACAGACTTCTTAATTATAATGGGAGCAATTTAGTGATTTTCAACACATCACAGCATGACGCTCTAAAGCTGTAGGCTATTTACAGTTTCCAAGTAACCTTATAACAGCTTCAAATATGTCACATCTTATCAGTTACATACTGTTGGTATTACTAAATTGAGTCTTGTTTAGAAGTATTTTTATGGAATAAAAAAGTGTTTTTTTAATGGAATTTTCATCTCACAATTCTGACTTTTTTTCCTCACAGTTGTGAAATGTAAACACAAATAAATAATTAAATATAAATAAATACTTTTTTGAATCAAGTTCTCATAGTTTTTACACTGACAGACTTAATATTTACTTGTTGCGACTCATCTGATCTTTTGGTTTGCGTTCAGTATGCTAAATAAATAGATAAATAAATAAATAAGTAAATAAATAAAAATAAAATTAATTTAAAAATTAACTTTTGAAATTAAAATTAGGTCATAAAATCATGTCAAAAATAGGCATTAGCACATGGTTGTGTAATGTGCAAACTATTTTTGGGTTGAACTCAATCTAAAAATAACTAGATCATGATACATACCATTATTATGACATACAAATGACAGATTTTGGTCATACTGTACCCGCCCCCCTCGACTCATTTCACAAAATAAGTTTAAGAAAACATCCCTCACTGAACTGGTCTTCTTAAAGCCTCATTCTCAAACCTCTAAAGCAACACATTTATTAGGTTTATGTTCCATCTCCTTCGCTCATGATTGCACTGAAGTACTTAAGATCAACCACAGCAGCTTATTCATCACAGATAATACAAACATCCACAAACACACTTGAACGTCACGCTAAAGAGCTCCTGTGAACTTCAAGAACCCATTATGCCCTTAAAAGAGGCTTCCAGTTCCTCCCAAACCGCATCCGGTTTACTGGCCCGCTTTCTTTCACCAAACAATACGTGTACAGCGAACGGCTAGCATTACGTGTAAATTATCTGCACTGGCTGTAAAGCGTGAGGAAACAGTATCTGTGCGGAGGGCAAGAGAGAATGAAAGAGAGAAAACTGAACAGCAGTTGTGCTCTACAGTACTGCCGTGATTTCTCTCTCTCTCGCTTACAGAGGAAACAGGAGAACCGACACACACACACACACACACACACACACACACACACACACAGTGCTCCCACGGACAGAAACACTGATCAGGACAAACATGACACCTTCAAACACATTCATAAACACAAATAAACACGCGCTTTTCTACAGGAGTGAGTCTATACGTGTGGCATGTGATCTTTGCCATTCGGTGAACTAAACTATATCACAAACCACAACAAAACTTCCATTTCAGATGCAAAATTCTCATTGAATACACAATTCTCTCATTTTAGATGCATATCGCATAAGTCTAAAAAAAATGCATAGTTCTCCAATTTTAGATGCATAATTCTCATTAAATGCACAATTCTCTTATTTTAGATGCACAAGTCTAAATAAATGCATAACTCTCCCATTTTAGATGCATAATTCTCATTAAATGCACAATTCTCCCATTTTAGATACATAACTCATTTTAGATGCATAGTTCACATTAGATGCATAATTCTCATTACATGCACAATCCTCACATTTTAGATGCATAATTCTCAATAAATGCACAATTCTCTCATTTTAGTTGCATAAGTCTAAATAAAAGCATAGTTCTCCCATTTTAGATGCATAATTCTCATTAAATTCACAATTCTCCCATTTTAGATGCATAATTCTAGTTAGAAATATGTTGATAAAAATTATTTGTACACTCAGTGCTGGACCAACAGGCCAAATGGACCTCTCCTGACAGCAATGACACAAAGCATGCTTTAGACATACAGTACACAACAGCGCATTGGTGTCAGCAGAGGTCCATCTAGTCTTTTGGTCCAGCAGTGACTGTACAAATCATGAACATATTTCTGAGTAGAATTAAGCATTTAATTAGAATTATGCATCTACAAAGGGACATTTATGCATTTTGTGTGTGTGTGTGTGTCACTCACCGCAGGAGCAGCAGGTGAAGCAGTTTGTATGATACAGGTTCCCCATCGCCTGACACGCTTGACTCGCTCCATACACACCTTTACCACACTTTATACAGATACCTGGAAGAGACAGACACACAGACAGCTGTCAGGATCACAGACGGGTGTGTTCTGTGTGGAGGAATCATAAACTGTAAAAAAAGATGGACGACGCGTCTCCACTTCCTTCCACTATAGAAAAGTGAAGCCAAAACATTCTCAGTATGGCCGCTGTCATCTTGTGAAAATGATGTAATTTGGAGCCAGAGTCTGTGCAGTAGAGATCGTGAGGTGGAGCCGTGGTATCAAAGTCCCGCCCAAACTCCCGCAGTCCCAATCACAAACTCATAGTCATGACACCCCGTTTTTATGTCATCAAATAACTAGTTAAAAGCAAACTTGTTAAGAAAAACGAACACTTGGACATACATCAGCATGATAAGAACTATCTAAAATGATGGAAACATTTATTTGAAGTGTAATTTGATTATTTAGTTTGTCTCACCTCCCATTAGATTACATGGAGAGGGCGGGGTTTATGACCTATACTGCAGCCAGTCACCTGGGGGCGATCGAGACGATATGGCTTCACTTTTGAGGACTCGTTGTGCACGCTTGGGAGGAATATACGATCTCTGATCTTAAGATGCGAGAGAGCGATTCATGTCAAATAATTCAAGTTCAGCTAATTTAAAGTTAAGCTTTTGTTGACAAAAAGAGTCAAAACAAGTAAAAACATTAGACTTTGTGATGAGGTTCGATGAGAAAGAGTGAACTGTTATATCAAAGACTATAGAAATACAAAGACGGTTCACTCCTATACTTATGAATGGGAGAAACTGCAACACGCAATATGGCGGGATAGTCCCGCCTTCTAAATGAAAGAGCCAATCGTTGATTGGTAAAGTCATTGCGTCACTGCAGCAGCCGTTAGAAGCTCCGGTTCCCATAGAAACCTGAGGCTGGACCGGCCGATGCGCATGCACAGTCATAAGCGCATTGGAACTACGCATGCGCATTGGCTGGTCTAGCCTGAAAAATAAGCTTTTTAAACATTCATGGGGCAGTTCATTTCAGATTTTGTTGCTGATTTTAAATATGTAATTTAATCGTGAGTTCAGCGAGCAGTTTTTGAGATTTCAGATTTATTCATTTTGTTTTCTCATTCAGTTTTCCAAAAACTTTTATAACATTTTCAAGAAAAATGTGGTTTAACCAAGCAAAAAATACTAAAATATTTTCCTTATGTCTTGAATATGTGAAAGTACACATATTAATAACAAATGTTTTTAAAAATGTTTGTTTTTAAATAATTTCCAAAATGTTTTTAACACATTTTTCAAGGCAAATATTTAAAGTAATTTTGTATTTTTTATTTTATTTTATTTTTTCACGTTTTCAAATTTTTTTTTATATTTAATAAAAAAATTAGAATTACTCTCATCATAGTGTAGGCATTGCATGTATGAATTGCATTGTTTGCTTTTGAATTAATTAATGGATAGGACAAACAAAAATTGCATCAAATCCAGTGTTTCCCCTGCCATTATATTAGGCTGGCAGCCCGCCCCCCCAACCGCAAAATGATTCATATTTAAATATGAATTCTGCGTGTCTGTGTCAATGATTGGCGCAGACGTGTGGTTTTGTTTCGTAACGTTACTGAAGCGCGCGTGACGCTCGCGGTGATTTTAGCGTCTGCCGTCTCACTAAATGAGGACATAAATACATGAACAACATCTCCAGAAC